TCCTGACCACCTCATCATGCTTCGTACCATACATGAAAGGATGATGGTGAATGGCAAGCGTTTGATTTGTTGCTTCGTACACTTTATAAAAGTTTTTGACAGGTACGGAGTCATCGTCGCCACCTCCTCTCAAAGATACAAATGGCCGGATTATATTTATACATGCTACTCTATGTGGATGATTTGCTACTTCTAGCTTCCACCTGCATAATGCTACAGAATAGCTTGAGTTACTTGCTTGGTTTTTCAATTACACAAGACTAGTGATTAATCTTATAGAAACAAAAACTGTCACCTTTGGTAATGGTGGTTGAAGCATACAAGTACCTTGGCTATGTATTGCAAGGAGCTGCGGTTAGAGCGTAGACAAAGTGGCTCCCAGCTTTAAGAGGGGCATACCAATACGATACGAATATCTGGAGATTATTAAACACCATGTACAACTCCTTTAGGTTATGGCTCTAACATTACCCACAAGTATTTAGATTAGTAATTTAAGTATGTAAAAGGTTGGATATAAACATCTATTCATCCTATCATTTAGATTTTTAGACAAAGAGACCTAATATATTCAAGTATATTCTAGAATATTTTTTAATCTTAAACATTTTCTAATTCGTTTGTAATTACAGATGTTTTGATACTAATTTAAATCATGTTTACAGCCCATGTTTATTGTATAACATTGGATTGTCATAAAAAAGGTTAAAATCTTTGGCCAAAGGTTAAGTAAAATAAAATACTCTTTTATCTCATGACTTAATTTTTATGATGCAAGCTATAAGATAAGAATCTTGTTTGATTGGCTAAAACCATGAAACAATCCCTTAAAGAGTTTCCACTATAATTGCAATTTGTAAACCAAGTTAAAAGCGAATTACAAAAAAAGACCAAAAAAAAATTAAAAGAATTGAAACGAATTCAAGGGAATTCAAACAAAATCAAATCAAATGAAGACAAACGAATTAAGTGAGAGCTTGTTTAGGGTTCACTCACATATAGCCCATTAATGCTGTCCATTCTTCTAATCACCTCCATGGCACAGCTGAGTGCAAAGCAGTGATGGAGAGTCACACAACTCAGGTGGAAATTTTTGGTGAAGTACTCGGGGAAGAGGAGCTGGATGGGGCAACTCAAGTTTGAGCTAAGTTCTTAGTCTAGAGCTTTGGTGGTTCTAGCATTACAAGTAGTCTAGCTCTAGTAGCAATAGCTGTAGCATTGCCTCACCCATGATGAGTTGTCTTCTTCCTGGTAGCATCATGGACAATACACTTACCACCCTCAAATCCTACACGTCCCCACCATGACCATGAGTTTTAAACCACCTTTGATTCTTGTGACAAAGTCAAGCTTTTTGATTTATAGTGACTTCACCAGCTGCAAATGTCATAAAAAACTTCTACTTCACCATCGATGCAACATATATGTACATTACTCCATTGTCCCTTAGGGACTAATTCACCATCGAGAACAAGTCTTATGAGCTCGGTCTCCATGAAAAAATTGCAAACATGGGGTGAAGAGTAGGAGTGGGGAAAGGAAAGTATATACCCCCTCCCCCCTATCCTTTCAATCTCCTGGGAATAAGGCAAGGAATTTGCATCGAGAGCTGAAGGCAAGGTATCCTTCCATGTTTGGTTTCCTTGGAGTCTGCCACTTTGTCTCAAAGGCAAGAGACTACCTTGCTAACTCTTCTTTGTGGAAGATGAAATCTAATGTCATTTTTCGCTAAGTATGCCAATTTCATGTCCATAGGCATCTCCACAAAGATGCAGCTCCTCTACAGAAAGAAGTTAGTTGTGCCACAAAGGTGATTATCCCATAAGAATGGCGCCATAGATGCCCCAAAGATGTGAGTGAATATTCTAGAAACACTGCTCAAAAGTATTTCACGAGCTGCCACATGTTTTGGTTTGTCTTCGTTTGTTTTTGTTGGTTTTCATTTGAGTTCGTTTGTAACTCGTGTTTAGCTTGCTTTACGATATTATTCTGGCTCTCGACAAGTATTCAAAGCAAGCATAAATTAAACAAAAATAATAAAAGCTCGAACACTCAGCATTGTTTTCCTCGTCACCGCTTGTCACCACCCTTCACCATAAATTTCGCACACTGCAAAAACATGAAAACAAAAGAGGCTGTGTGAGATGGAAGGAAAAGAATACCTTAGCAACGTCTTGATCCTGCTAGTGTCACTAGTGCTGTTGCTGCTTCTCAAAGTCGAGTCGGCTCTTCCTCCTCCAAATGCTTGTAACAACTTCGCCACGAGTCTCTTCACCAATTGTTACAATGACTACATTGGCACTGGCCCTCCTCACCTGGCGTGTTGCAAGGCCATCAAAGCTGCTCCATTCTCTTGCTGCTACCTCGTCACGCCTGGAATTGCCAATGCAGTCAATGTCGCTCGCATCAAGTCCATGGCAGCGTCCTGCAAACTAACGCTTCCAAAAAAGTGTGGAGGTAAGATGAGATGGTTTCCACTCTTTGCTTCTCCTGTCTCGTAGTGTTCTCGTTCTTTATCTCACTGTTCTGCCTGTTCTTTCTTTCTAGCACTGACGTTCTCTCGTTAAGAGGCGCAAACGATCTTTGGGACGTTGTCTAAGTCGAATTCACAGTAGTGTTCTTATAAGTACCTATGTAACGCAGCCTGTTTTACCGAAATAAAAGGAGCTTTCGTGATAATTTATAAGGTTCTGTAGTTTACAGACGGCTCCTCCTCGCATTTCTGGGAGCACAGGATGGAAGCTCGAGCTCGAGCGTGGTGGCTTATTTCTACGCGTCATCTTGAAAGTGTTCGGGAGCCAAAACCGGGGGTTGCAAACTTGAGACACACTTGAACTGCCAGGACGAAATAGATAGTTTACATGTGGTTTTTTTTACTACAAAAGCAAGCTTACCTTGTGTTGCTTGTATTTTTCTCTAGTTGCTGGCAGTCCGCAGCCCTTGATGTTCCGCTGTAGATCATACATATCAGCCACACATTCTGACAATTCCGAGGCTTTGTAGCGGGTGTAACGAGACAATGTCGCATCCTGCAATGCAAACACAGTGACAGTTAAGCTTTAATAGCGGAAGCTTGTAACACTCACCCAAGGCTTTGCCGCAGGATTATGAGTAAGCCTCGCCAGGAAAACGGCTGACGCAGCAATCATCGACGGCATGTATTTTAAGAAGCTGTACTCCACAAGACTAAGTTCTGCTAGATAATTTCCAAGAAACTCCAGCTGAAGAGATGGTTCCTAAATTTTAACTCAATTCGAATTAGCAACACTTGCTGTCGAAAGACAAACCTGGTACGCTGCCTGAGCAGCCCTCATAAATCGTCGGATGAATGTCTTAATTGTCGGAGTTGTGAGCTCAAACCGCAACTGGCAGAGCACTTGCCTCTCCATGTCAACGAGCTGATTACACAACACAGTTAGCGTATGAAAAAAGTGAAGTACAGATCAATCTACGACCTCCGACTTTGAGTACGTGTTATCGGTGATATAGCAGAATTCTTCCACCTGGGGCGCACATATCTCCTCGTACTTCCTGAAAAATAATGTTTATTATCCACCATTTGATCGGATAATACTTACGACGCAATAAGCATGCAAGAGACTCCAAGCAGCTGTAACCGTTGCCGACTGACGACGTTCGCAGAAAGGAAGCGATCGATGTAGGACACAGTAAGGTATAGCGTGTCTGGAACCAGTTTATACTCTTCAGCAACCTGTGAAAGCACGCAAATTAATCAATAAATCAGAACGAGGGACTTTACCTCCACAAGCCAGTCTACAAGTATCCCTCGCATACCGGGGTTGATATCTTGTTGTATGAATTCCATGAAGTTCGTCGACGGCCTCCTCTTGAGCTACAAGGCTGAAGGTTTACTACGAACTATCAACCAGAACTATTTCATACCTCAGCCATTCGAAGATGTTGGTATATGTCTGTAGCATATAGCCCACACATCTGTGGATCCTTGATCCCAGCATCGATGTCCTTCAGAGACGCATCAATGGAGTTGCTGCTTGCGACTCCCTGCTGCAATTCTACACTCGAAAAGCAATCGACATTACAATAGTTGACGGAGAAACAACTTACCGGTCTCTTTGGGCTCCCTCGAAATGTACAAACTCTGGACGGTCTTTCGTTCAAGAGAGAGGACAGCTTGAGGGTCAGCCTTCACAGCCGGGGACTCCAGATTCTCCACCCTGACCTCAGCTACACTATCACTCTTGTCTGGCACCGATTCAATCGCCACAGCCTTAACGACGGGCTTGGAAACTTTCTTCAAGGCCTTCTTCTCGTGAAGCCCACGAGACTTTGGCTTTGTGACCACAATCTACACAACAAAGAGTCACACCCTCTTAAAAGAAAGCCCACGAACAAACGAACAGACAGGGAAAAAAGAAGAACCTGGGATTTCGGGGTCACTGTAGCTCGCATGGCTGGGACGTTGGCCGAGTTGGAGAGGCTCGACAATGCCGCTCGCTTCTTGCCCTGGGAAAGCGCCGTGACCGCGCTGCTGCTGCTGCTGCCGCCGCTGCTCCAAGCCCGACCATCGTCCAATGCCGCTCGCTTGGACGCCAATCTCGGCTGGGACGACTGCCCCGCGCTCTTTTGAGATCCAGTCCACGAGCTGGTCCGGCTCCGCAGCCTCCGATCCGCCCCATCGCTCGACATTCTTCCAGAATACCTGAGACGATCCGAGCTATGCCTAATCACAGCGCGTCAATCGAGGCACCGATCCGCCCCGCAGCATTGAGAGCGCGCAGCCCCGCAATCCGGAAGATTAGGGATGGGGAAAAGCAAGCTCCACAGCTGGAGCTTAAGTCCGCGATCCGGCGGTCGAGATGCAGCCAGACCGGTTGGCAGCATCTGGGCCCTCGGATCGGGCCATTTGTCCCGCCCAAGGTTTGAAAGTTTGGGAGGCAAATGGCTTTAATGTAACAGGGAATATCCCAGTTATGATACATTGACCAGAAGAAGTCAACGTTTCGAGATTTTAGGGTTTTTGGAGTAAATGGCGTACGTTGGGCTGAGCGCTCTGGATACATGGCTCGTGAGGGAATGGAGGGAGCGAGAGAGGGCTTGGAGAGAGGAGGATCGGGCCTGGCGGGCGGAGGATATGGAGCTTCGGGCCGAGGAGATCGAGGCCCGCGCCGAGGAGGCCGCGTTCCGGGAAGAAATGCACAGGTGAATCGTATGTTCTGATCGCTCGGATCGATTTGAGCTTCGATATTCAGGTGGAGGGAGGAGGATATGAAGCAGCGGAGAATCGAGAATTCGCGATACGTGTGGTCAAGGCGAGTGTTTCTTCTTTTGTGAAGTGTTGGAGGAAGAGATGGAATTTTGCACAGATTTTCAGAGCTAAACAGGCGAGATGTGGAAGAAAAATCTGAGCATTTGCGATCGTTGAGCTGGATCACTGGACTGGTGACGAGCTTCACCATGACGGCCCCGGTCGAGTTCAACACACCAAAATCCATCCGTGCGGTAAAAGCGATAAAGTTTTCTACCTACATCCTTTTCTTTCTGTGACACTTCCTTTTGACAGGGACGCTTGATGCCTTACGCGATCTGTACAGCCATCGTTGTAAGCTTTTTTTGCTTTTGAGACACATCTTAGCTTTGATTGATTCTAAGAAACCTTTCAGCCAACTTTGATGACAACTTCGACGATTATTTGCGTCTATCTCCTCGGATGCATTCTCCGGATGGGAAAGTCGTTTGTTTCCGAGCATGCCGAGGAAGAATTCATGGCCCTGTGCCATTCCTATGCTGAATCGGCTGCTCCGTCGCAACCCCCTCCCGTTCCCTCCCGGACGTTTCAAAACTTCTGGGCGGCCAGGTAGTCATATCTCAATCCAAAAGCCTAGTGTTTGAGCTGATTTGCTTCGTTGCAGGTGCAAAGACTACTGGAACACTGCGTTCTCTCTCTTCTTCTGGGGTATTTCGTCGTCACTCACTTGAGACGAGTGGTTTACGTCGAGTCCTTTCCTGCAGGTGTGTCATTCTTTCTCGCATTGCTGTGCACTATGGGGTATGTTTTTCCGCGGTGTAATGCTGCTTTGATAACTCTCTTCTCCAAAATGCAGGTTTATCAAGTTCTCAGATGACCGAGTAGCACTTTCATTCACCACAGTCATTGGCATCTCGTTTGTCGCATGGTACGCTGGCACCAAAGTTTCTCGCTACTCAAGATGTTTACTTTGGCAGGCTAGGAATACAAGTGAAGTGGGGCTACTATCTCAAGAAGGAGCACGAAAGCCTGAACGAGCCCGTTAGCAGTCATCCAGTTCCTAAGGTTTTAGCTCCGGATGACCCGTATAGATGGCATTTGAGGCCCTCGCCGGATTGGCAGGCTCCAGTGAGCAGCGTCACTCCAGTCCTCGAAGAAGCCATTGCCATTGTCTGAAAACCAGGTTCTCTCTCTCGATATTTATTTTCTTCTCACACTTCTTTCGAGGATCCATTGATAAAGTCGATTTGTACATCTTGGGAACCGGGTCGATTATCTAACCTTCGTCAACTGTCGAGTTTTATGCCTTAGTGTCTATTTCGAAACAACGATAGCACACAAACATCGAATCCAGATTGATAAAAATAAAATAAAAAAAAGCATATGTATTCTACAACAGTTAGAAAAATTGTTTTTCTTCTTGCTTGCTTGCTTGCTTGTTCCTTGCTCTTGAGATTAGATTTAAGCACCCTCCGAAACGGGTGATGGGCTCCGAGCACCAGGCGACTTATCGTTCATGACTGTGTCGTTCTCCTCGGTGGCGATGTTGTTGTTCTCGGGCTTGGGGCTGGGGCTCCTGCTGGGACTGGGACTACCGCGACCGTTTGGGCTGCCGGATTTGTTGTTTGCAGCCGTGTCTTGTGCCTGCCAGAGACAAATCGATCATTCTCATCTCAACGAACCTTTAAACTCTCGGCTTACCCGGGGTGTAGGCGATCGTGACCGCGAGCGAGAGCGGGAGCGAGACGTTGATTTACGCTTCACAACTGGCGACTTTGATCTGAGACAATCACCACCGTGAGAATACCACCAAGGAACAATGTCTCCGAATAAAGTTTTAACTTATACCTTGAAAGCTCATTCCGCGCAGGAGAGCGTGATGCCGAGCGCGAGCGAGAGCGACGCACTGGCGAGCGGGATCGACGCGCTGGGGAGCGAGATCTACTCTTTGACCTCGACCGGCTTTTAGCACTGCAAGACAGGTTCGGTTTTAGAGAAAGGAAAACTCGATCGCTACCTCCTGCTGCGGCTGCGGCTCCGACTGCGGCTACGGCTGCCGCGACTCCAGCTGCGGCTGCGGCTGCGGCTTGTGCTCCGCTTTGCTCCCGATTTATCCTCCCTCACCTACAAAACACGTTCCAAATCAATGACACAAACAATAAGCGTGTGCAGCTTACCCGAATGTATGAATGCGAAAAAGGATTGCGAAACTCAGTGTCGTCGAGTTTTCGTATCTGTTAAGAAGAGTATAAGAACATTGACGAGTACAAGAAGAAAGAATGTATACCGCATTTTTCATGTCATCATAGTTTGTAAAGTCGACAATGCCTCTGGTTCCTGTCGTCAGGGAAGTCAGAACAAAAAGCTTAGAATAAGAGCATTCATTACCATTCGACTCCCGGAAAACTTGAGCGAAACAAACATCTCCAGCTGTACGCATATGATCCTATACACAAGACAAAGTTTAATCGGGTAAAAGACAGGAAAGAATGTCTCACTTTCAGATCCTGCCAGGAGGCCGACGATGGTAAACCCGTCACTACAACTGCAGCACAATAATGTGAGTTTTTACAGCAAGAGAAAACAAAAATCCTACCTCTGTACTCTGAGCGCCTAGAAACCCCGCGGCCGCCTCCACCGCCGCCTCCCCCTCCACCACCACCACCACGGTAGCTATTGCTATGCCGATCACCGCCATAAGAGGGATGACCACGACCACCACTATGAGCAAATTCTACCTGTGGGGTAAAAGTAAGCCCGTCAGTCCACATTCAAAGCTCTAGCATACCCGCAAACGGTGGCCGTCAAAAACATAGCCATCTCTAGCTTTGATGGCGTCTTCAGCATCCCGAGGATCGTCAAACTGACAGAGCGAGAACAAAAAACTTTAGTAAGCTGCAAAGGACAAATGCTTCAGCTGAATACCTCTATAAAAGCATAACCAGGAGGCCTGGGGGGCAGCTTCAAATCGATATCTAAGATACGCCCATACTGCAGCAAGAAGAAAAAAAGAGATTTTTAGACGACATAAAAACGAAACAAGGGTCTTACCTTGTAAAACAAATCGTCGATTTCACTCTCTCGCACATCACCGGGAAGGTTGCCAACGTATATTGTTCTGCTGGAACGACTCATGGCTAAAACAAGGACAATCACCGGGAGATTAGAAAAAGAGGGCTTACGGTAGAAACTCCGCATAAACAAGCAGGACGTAGCATTCAGCGGTGCGAGGCAGACCAGGACGACTTTCGGCCCGAGGAAAGCTCCATCGCTCCCTCCATTACTCCACAAAAAAATCCCCCACATCCAAAACATGCCACCCTCCTACATTGCTTTCTAACTCTCCTCCGTCCAAGGCCGCCACGCATCTAGTCATGCACAAAACAAGTAAATATCCTAAAAAAGCTTCCACAACAAAGACGCCACACACACCACGCACTCACGCCGCCACACCAGTGAAGAGCGCGAGCTCTCATAACCCCAGCCGGCCGATGCAAGCGCCAAAATCACTAGTGCTTGATCTATGGACGCACCCAAAAACGCGATGTGGCCACTCACCTCGAACTGCCGCACCAAGGCGCACGCTCCACGCGCCTCGCCCTCCCCTCAAAACCTAGGTCTACTAAAACCCTAAAGTATGATAAAAAAGAGCTTGGTGCCGTACGGTTATGGGACATGTACGGATGGGGCCCTCTTTCCCGAGGAATAAAAAAGAATCGAGGATGGCGCCGATTGTTCTAGGGCTCCTTCTCGATCGTGTTGGCGAAGGGCATGGCGATCGTGCAGCCGCCGCTCAGGGATGGATTATCGATCGGCATTGCTGCGGCCGATCGCGAGCACGCGCTGGCGTCGCCGATCCTGGCGATCAGAGCGACGACGACGGCGAGGCTTTCCGAGCTGCGTCTCACAGCGATTCGCCGGATTTCCAGCAGGTAGTGTAGAATGCGAGGTCCTCGCGATGATTCTCACTTTCTTTTCGCCAGGTTTTCATGCGCACCGAAAGATTCCGTCGTCATCAAAGAGGAGCCAGTTCCGTTGCCGATAGTTCACATCGATCAGGAGTCCGATCCTCATGTTACCATCGTGGAGCTCAGCTATGGGGATCGGCTTGGAGCTCTTCTTGATACGGTTCTTTCGATTTCCTTCCAATTTTCTCATGCGCTTTTTATGCTTCTCATCGTGATAGATGAAGGCTTTGAAGGATTTGGGGCTTAATGTGGTGAAAGGCTCTGTGGCTGTGTCAGGGAAGACAAAGTCCAACAGGCTCTCCATCACCCGTGCGTAAGTGCTTACGCCCCTCTATACGACAAGGTCTTCTAAAAGGAAATGACTGTAGAGCTACTGGACGCAAGGTTGAAGATCCCGAGCTTTTGGAATCGATCCGCTTGACAATCATCAGCAACCTTTTGCAGTATCATCCAGTAAGTGTTTTCTATTTTTATTCCAAAGTCATGAGACTAAAACGCAAATGCTTCCAGGAGTCCAGCGAAAAACTGGCTATGGGAGAAGCTTTCGGGAAGAAACCTCCAAAGAAGGTTCGATTCCATGGAAAAACAACCACATAACTCGGTGACTTCTTTTTCAGATTGACGTTAAAACTCATATCACTGTCACCGATCAGGGACCCGCTAGAAGGTATTACATTTTAAGACTGAAAACACAAACGCTATATAGACTAAATATAAACGCTATATTGATCAATGCAGCTTGTTAACAATTGAGACAGCCGATAAACCGGGCTTACTCCTGGACATTGTGGAGATGATCACTGCAACTAGCGTCACAGTGGAATCTGCAGAAATTGATACAGAAGTAAGGAGACGATCTTTTTCTTTTTCAAATACTAATGCGTTAAACAGGGCCTGGTGGCGAGAGACAGGTTTCATGTGAGCTACGGAGGTGCAGCCCTGACCAAGTCTCTGGCAGAGGTACTATACTAACATGTTAACGGCAATGTTGCCTCAAACTATGCTTTTGCTTGTTCCAGGTTCTCGTCAATTGTCTACGCTTCCACTTGCGGAGGTCAGAAAGTGAAGACGAGAGCTACTAAACAGCCCTGGGGACAAAAGTGAAAATCTTAGGGTCGTATCCTTTAGCTAAGAATCGAACAAGCTGTTTCCAAATAACCGCGCGCTTCCAGCTTCCAGTTATTTACGTAAATGCCAGTTTGGGGGGCAGGGTCTGCATGTTGGTACACTTGGCAGCCTGCAAGATACTTCTAAAACTTGGAGGATAGAGCTAGAAGGGCGATGCATGATCCGGGATTTTTAGTCTATATGAGCTGAGGTTCTCGGCTGGAAGGAAGGCAGTGCTCAGAGTAAGCGATAGCGATGGCGAGTAAGGATGCAATTCATCCAGCAGCAGCAACATCACCAAGACCAGGTGATCCTTACGTTCCAGGGGACTCCACCGCTGCTTTGCCAGGCACCGGGAGCTACTTCAGGCGTTTCCAGATGAGAACGATCACTGGAAACATCTCCGAGGATCACCTGGACAAAGTTACGATCAACTTGGCTGTGTATGGAGCTGGCTTGGTACTCGTTGGCCTGGTGGCTATCGTCTTCCCCCTGAGCTTCACGCTGGCTATCGGCAAGTTGATCTCTTGGCTGCTCGTGTTTGGCGGTGCTATGGCTCTCATCCAGTTCTTCTTCATGTGTGGAGCACCTGGGACTAGCTCTTTCTTGTTGCTGGGAGCTCTCTATATGATCGTCGGGCTACTGATGGTCATCCATCCTCTACGCAGCGGCACCTTGCTCATCGTCGTCATGGCTATGTGGTTTCTTCTTCATGTAAGTGCTTGATTCTTCTTTTGATCACTAACACCTCTTGTTTATTTTTCTTCTTCGTTTAGGGGGTGTTCAAGGCTGTGATGGCCTCCCAGGTCCGGAACTTCGCGACTTGGCCGACTTTGATGGGAAGTGGTGTTATATCCGTGGTACTAGCATTTTTAGTGCTACTCCTGGCACCGCGCTTGGGCCTGGTAACGCTTGCTGTCGTATTTGGTATGGATTTGCTTCTATCAGGTGTTTCAATGCTGCTCCTCTCGTGCGTAGCTTTCTTCGGTACGTTCTTATTAAAATACTGCTGGATTTTCTACTCGACGCTGATATCTTTCTTGTTCTTTCGGTGTCAGGCAAGAGGTCCATTAGTGTTCCTCCGGCCTCTGCCGTGGGTGCCAGGGAGCCATTAATGTCCGGCATGAGCCATGCAGCGGCGTCGGCTTAAAAAGATATAAGGTTCTTCCAGTCCAGTCTGTGAAATCGAGTCGTTTTCTTGAATGTAATTGTTTGGAAATATTTGTTGTACTTATCCAACTTCTTTGTGAGCAGCACCGAAATTTTCCTTGCCTATGGAATCACTCACAGCTTGTAAACAACGATCTTGTTCAACAGGACCGTCCCCAGCCAGAGGTGACCATCGTGCTCTTCGGCTTCGCTCACATAAGAAGCAACTTGGCCTTTGTGATCCTCGAGGGCGTCGATTAGCTTACCATCGGCATCATACTTGAGAATCAGAGCGTAAGGACCTCCTCCGGTGATCATCTTGGCAGGGATTGGGAGCTTGACGAGGAAGTCTCTCAGCCTTGGACGGGGCCCCAGGAAACGCATCACGGGTTTTCTCAAGGCATGTATCGCTACCCAAAACTCTCCATTTTCGTTAGTTCTAACGTTGTCTGGGTGGCCCGGCAGGATAGCGAAGAGCTCTGGAGTTCCAGCTTTGGGACCTTTGAGCCAGTAGCGAGTCAATCTGGATCAAAGCAAAGTTGTAAGTTGGATAGAGAGCTAGATAGATAGATCGAGATGGCGAACACTTACTTTCCATTGGTGGTTTCAGCAAACACTAGGAAGGAGTAATCCTTGCTCATGGAGACACCGTTTGGAAACTGAAGCCCACGAAGCAAAACGCTCACTTGCTTTGTCGAAGGATCATACTTGAGCAGAAGGCCAGTGTCATCTCCCTCGAGAATCGGCAGTATGAAGTTCCTGGCAAGGTAATGCCATGAAAACTTTCCCAAGTTTCGTGAATTCAAACGCTATGTTCATACCTTCTTTGATATTTGGAGCTTGTAACTGTGAAGTAGACGCATCCATCCTCGTCCAGATCTAGATCGTTGGTGAACAGCAGGGGCTGGCCTTCCACCTCGGTGACGAGCGGAGAGGCAAGACCCCCTTGCGATCCCACCACCAGCAATCCCTTGTAAGCATCGGCAATGTAGAGCTCGGACGAGCTCTTCTTGAATCGCAAGCCCAGCGGCCTCCCACAGATATGCTCGTTCGCGAGATTGGGCCGCGGAGGATCCTTGGGCGCGCACGCAGATCTAAGAAGCGAACAAGCTATCACGAGACGAGGATTTCGAGACGCCCAAGCTCACCGATTGGAAGAAGTGACCGCGAATTCGATCCATGCTTGTTGCTCCTCATCCCAGCGAAGGACACGGCCATCGCAGATGCCAGTGTAGGGGCCGCGGCCTTGCGGATCGAAGGCGATGCTCTCGGGGCCGCAGACTTGGCCCGAGAAGCGGACCTCCGCCCGGGCGGCGAGGCGATTGTGTGGATCGCCCTGGAAATCACCTAGCTGCGCGGGCGAGGGCTGCTCCACATGAATGGCGCGGAAGTCGGGGAAGCCGACAGTGGGGCCGATTCGCAGCGGATCAGTGGCGGCGTAGAGCGCCGCCAGGAAGGCCAAGAGCGCCGCTGCCAATGATCCAGGCGTCATTAGTGGTCGTGCTTGAGTTTAGTAGTTTTGTATGGCATGGGATTTGTTTAGATGGCTGGTAGCGCGACACGTGTTTGGCGCCAACTTTGGTCTCATGTGTCTGGTATGATCAACCAGCTGGTCAACATATCATCATTTCCCAGCTTTTCATTTTATTATATACATACATTATTAAGTTTCAAATTGATAGTGAACGTTTGATATACAGTGTTAAGCATAAATTAGCAAATTTGCTAATACTTTCAGCCTTGAAAACATTAAACTTGAGCGTGCTCTTATTCACGTCCAGCGTCTCTCTGCCGATGTCGATCGACTCCAGCTCTCGCTCCTTAAGCTGCAAGCCCTTCATCACACAGAATTTCCTTGAGCGCCTTTGTTCGATCAACAACCGTTGATCGAACTGACAATGCCTGTGAGATAGGCATCTGAGGCCGCAGCTGCTCGCCACAAGAAACTCCACTTCTTCATCTTCATGCTGCTCATGGGGATTTTCCCAGCAGCTCCACCCCATCGTCGTTTTCGTGTGGATCGTCGTCGCTCGCCCACATTGCGATCGCCACTCATAGAAAAGCGGGCAGTCGAACCACCAGAACCTTTCAATCTGGCAACAATCGGACATCCACGTGCCACAATCAGCCAGTCACACGCTACTCAATAATATTAGTATAGTTTTATTTGATTGTTTATTCTACACATTTTGCATTTTATCCGCTATTACAGCTTAATAGAGTAATGCAAGCACCGACTTAAGGATACTAACCACTGCACGCAGCACAAGGAAAATGCAACTGTTTGGAGTAACAAGGATAATCACACTCTGCAGAAGCGTGATAGTTGTGGTGAGGCTCAAGATAACTGTTAGATCAACTTTGATGAACTTGATTGGAGTCCACACAGGAATGGCATTGCCCAGATACTTGCAGATGACGCCAATGATAATCGGGCAAGGGTAGCCACCAGGGATGTAGATCACAATGATCTCAAGGATGATAATCACTGGATAAAGGATGACACACAGCAAGGGAACTTTGAGGACGAGGGCCTTTAAACTAGCTATAACTTGAGTGACAATTCCAAGTACTTTGTCAACTAGATCCAATGGGACACCAATGTTTGATGAAGTTCCATTTGTAGGAAGCACCGTCTTTAGAGATCTCATAGTGCCTTGCAAAAACATTTACATGGACAAAGAGTCAAACCAAAGTTTAGACCAGGTTATATACCATACCAGAGAGGTCTCCACTAACATCATTGTCTAAAGCTGAAACATGAACAGCACTCGCAAGCAGGAGGCATGCAAGTGGGAGAATGAATGCTATGCTTGATTTTGCCATTTTCTTCGATTTAACTTGGATAGTGTGAGTTATTAATCTGAGGGACATCTAGGCCTTTAAATACTCGACAAATCACACCAAACTTTAGGCCACCTCTAAAGCAACGCAAGACTTTTGAGACAAGTATATCTTGAATATTTGATTCCATCAAATGTAAATCTCGATTAAGTCTCCTCGGATATCCTTGGCCAGCCGAATCACGTATAGGATTTGGACCTAGTTATCACTCCAATTATTTGTACTTTTAAGCCTCGTGACAAGAAAGCGAACTTGGCAATAATGCATTCTAGAGCAAAGCTGGGTTGGTGCTTGGAATGTCCGTGCTTCCTAAGCGGGTACAAGTGGACTGTAAACAAAATTAAATTGATTCGTTACTTGGAACTGGAAAGTTGATTCATCATCAAGTGGATCCCTTGTACCCATATTATATGAGGCTTGCATTGAAATATTTAGAGTTAATTAGATCCTTTTAAAAATCAAAAGACACCAGGTTAGATGATCGCAAACCAGGTCGCAAACCACAGCTGTAAAAGCAGCAATCTCTACCTCCCCTTTGCCAAACTTCATTACCTACTCGCAAAGAAGAAAATGACCACATGCTGACGAGGGTGAGCGGAACTTTGCATAGATTTATAGATACCACAAGCTGACGGGAGTGGGAGGAATTCTGCAGGAAATTTACAATAGCAAGATCCCCAGCACACCATGGCCCGTGATTTCAGACTGCCACGGGATGGAGAAGCCAAGTAAGAAAGTCCCTGCTTCTAAGTGTAAAATCGCAAAAAAGATAAAAGCTCCATCAGGAGTCCTGGTTGGACAACATGAATGTATACTCTCGCACACAAGCAAGCAAGACACCTGTGGGCCGTACTTCCAACCAGGGACTCCCCGCCAGCGTCGGGGTGTGCAGGGTGCTCGGGGCAGGCTCTGTTGGGGGGATGTCCCAAGTGGAATTCGAGCACAGGACTGGGGGTTGAGCTTGGGATCCAAATTAAACAATGATATAACCATAAACTAAAACTATTATACCATATCACACAAATACAAAATGCAATAAACTACTAGTTAGAATATTAAAAAAAAATATTCATTTTTTATAATAAATTATTAATTTACTTTTCATACATCCTTTAATGAAAATTAAAATTTTCCTTTTAGTTGAGCTCAATGTAGAGGATACTTTTTACTATATAAAAAGGAGAGTAATTGTAGATATATATGATTTGTTTGAAGCCCCTCTAGAAGGAAAGAATCTAGTATTTTGTAATAAGTTTAAGTAGCTAAAAATGAAAATCCTTAATTTGAGTGATTAACTGCACTAATATAGGCTGTCAAGTCAACACAATCTAGACATCAATTGTTGTATAAGTATAGGTCTTTAATAATCTCAAATTATCTTAGCTTTTCATCTCTTATTTAGATTCTTTGATTCTCTTTTCAGTATCGTGCAATAGAGTGAAGATAGTCCTCCACAAAGCTAGTATTTGTAATTCATAGCAATTGCGAAAATAAACTCAACTCTAATAGCAATATCAAGTCACAATCATATAAGCACTAATTGGAATTTACATTCTTGTGATATATGCATACCAGAGAGATAACAAACAACTATCCCAATCTAAATGTTAAAAGTTCATATACTTTATAAGATTATCCTCTTAAAAGTCTGAATAAGTAATTCCACTAAACCATTCATTTGTGAATGATTAACATTTGTGAAAGTGTGATGAATACTTCCTAGTTAAGATGTCAAGATATAAAATGTTTCAGCCATAAATGCAAAACTATTATCTGAGAAAATCTGCTCTAAATATAAATGTTAAAACACCACTCAATTGAGGAAAAAGTATTTAATAGTAATTGCAGATGCATTAGAAAGCTTCATCAAATTAAATGCCACAAACTTAAAAGGATGGGAAATTACAATCAACTTTAATCATCCTTTTACACCACGAGGGGAAATATTACAAGTTTATGCAATTATGAAAATATTAAATAACATTATATTGCATCTCCTACCAATAAAAAAAATTTGCTTAGCTTCTCATTCACACATTAATGTTTCATACACCTATCTAAAATAGAAGAGTCATGGTAAATATAAAGAAAGTGTGGAATAAATATTGAAAGCACTACATAATCATTAAAATTAGTCTTCACAAAGTAAAGGAAATATTGAGAATGTAAATATCAAAAGAACAAATTATTAGTAAGTGATATAGGATTCTCAAACCCATCATAAAACCTTTAGATTTACAGTTTAAATTTTTTAGTTTCACGAACTTTGTTAAGAAAAGGTAAATTTAGTTTTACACTTTATGGACACTAAATATTAAATATAACAACTACTAATGCCATGGAATCCTCATCTAAAAGATTTATTGATGCTAGAATAATAAGGTCAAGAACATAAAAAGAGAGGAAAGAAAAGATAAGAACTCAAAAAAGGGTGTTAGTATTAATTATAAAGTTGTCTAAGGAAAAGATAAGATCTCAAAAAAGGGTGTTAGCATTAACCATAAAACTATTTAAGCAATAAACAACCTAAAAATTATATCAAAACCCACTAAATAGTAAAAACAATTAAGTAGAAATATTTGAAAACTATGGTTAAAGTTAATTGTAATTTTCCATCCTTTTGAACTTGTGGCATTTGATTTAATAAAGCCTTTTCCACGATCAACTATTAACAATGAGTATGTTATTATTGTTTTTAACTAGTTGATTTGTTAGGTGGAAGTTTTGTGTTTTAGCTAATACATATGCAACTATTATTAGATATTTCATCCTCAATTGAGTGGTGGTTTAACATTTATGTCTGAAGTAAATTCTTTTGTATAATAGTTTTGCATTTATGGCTAAGTCATTTTATGTCTTGATGTTTTGATTAAAGATACACCACACTATCACAAGTGTTTATGACAAATGGTTTAGTGGAATGGCTAGTTTAAACCTTCACAGGGGTGATCATGAAGCATATAAGCTTTTAATGATTTAGACTAGGATAATTATTTATTATCTCTTTAGTATTCATATATCATGGGGTAGAGATTTTTAATTAGTGCTTCACTATATAAATTTTTATATAATGATGATCTAATATTGCTAACAAAGTTGAGTTTACCTTCTTAATTATTATGAGTTATTGATGTTAAATCCTGGGATCAATATATGATAAATATTCTTCCAATGATTTGAGAAGAATCTATTGAACACTCAACTATTATCATCATCTACATATAGAGTATAAAGTGAATGATCTTAATTTTATGCTATGTGGTCATATAAAAGGATTAAGATTGCCTATAGATACACTAGGGTCTTTTCCTAATGTTTCTCCAAATCCCACCCCATCAACCAAACAACCTTAATTACTTTTCATCTTTTCAAAAGAAGGGGATGATATACAATTGCATACATTAATATTAGTATAGAAGGATTTTAATAACCATTGGATTGGCTTCAATTCAAACCCTTGTATTTAAGCTAGGGTTTTTAGATTAATCAAATATGCATATTTTGTATTTCATTTCTATTTTCCATGCACTCATACATTTTATTTTTTTAATACCTAACTTAATATTAAAAATATTTAAAAGTTACTATGTCTACATTTATACAACTATTTTTAGTATTTTTTGAGCTCTGGGTAGTAATAATTTTCCTTATAAATTTACTAATAATTATATTTTATAGTTATTAAATTAATATTCTATGAATTTTATTTTTATATCCCTTCTTCACTTATTCTATTTTAATCCTAACCTTAGTATTACAACACCTATTTAATATTCTTCTTTTTTCTCATTATTTGTTTTACCTAATTTCTTTAGCTTCTCAATTTTTTAAAATGTATTTTGAGTATTAGTTTTCAAGGTTTTAATAATTTCAATAAAGTTAAATAGAATTTATTAAATGCACAAAACTAATTTGTTGTGTATTGCATTGGAATATTAATAAAAATGAAATAACGTTTTTAGAATCTGTCTATTTTGTACCAATTATAACATGATTAAAATATAATGTATCTTAAAACTTAATATATCACCTAATATAGTAAATCATTTTAAATGTGAAAGAATATATGGTCTATAATTGAGAATAGGGAACTGTATTTATAAAAAAAAATTGCTACTCATTGCATGCATGGTTTGCTTAATAGTAGTCCTGTTTAGTATTATCTAATTGATCAATAATTATCCATTATTAATCTTATTGCATATCAACCATTAGATGGCAGTATAAACTAGAATATACTAGTAAGTTTTTATGAAAGTTTATAAATTATAAGCATGTATATAAACTATAATTACCAAATTAATATAAATGAATAACAACTGTTAGATAATAGAATTTCCAAGCATCTATATGTATTCACTACCACTTTGTTTAACTAAACTAAAAAATCATAGAATTAGAGAAAGTCCAAGGAAATATCCCCCATAATCACCTGCCCTCTCCACTTGAACTTCTCCTTAAGAATAACAGCACCTCTATAGAAATTACAATATCACTTAGTGAGTTAGTTAATGAGCTTCAAGGCAGTCTGGGTTGGCAAGAAAATGGAGATGTGTGGGTGTTTGGATTAACACAGAATAGCAAAGAGAAGTAATATTTCATATTGCTACCACAGGTCCCTTGCAGGATATCTGAACCATTGCCTGCAAAGCCAGCAGGAAAAGCACTCTAAAAGTGTATAAAAACATCATAAACTAATTTTTTAATATAAGTTAAATTTACTATAAATAAAAAACACATGATTAATCTAAATGTATATACACCATTGATTGTAGAATATGCTAGAATATACTTGGAGGTGTTTATCTGTTGCTAATGAATATACCTAGAATATTCTAGGATATTCTACCATCTAACGGTTGTTATACATTTAGATTAATCTTGTATTTATAATTTATAAAATTTCTTATTAAACATGTTTATTTTACCATTTTCAATAATATTAATTTTTTGTTTATAAATTATAAATATGCTTATAATTATAAACTTCCATTTGATCAATTGGATTAATAAAGGAATAACACTACTATTAAGAAAAATAAGCGTTTCTGCATGCAACACATAGCAAATTTTTAAATGATATACATTTTTATAAATTATAAACACAAAATTAAAGAATAAACCAAAATTTTCAAGCATATTTTAGATATATCCATTACTTATGCAAACTAAACATATATTCAAAAATTTATTGAGAATTGAAATTATGGTTCAGAGACAAAGTTACTTGCAGCGCACAAACACAAGCCTGGTCTGGAATTGTTTGAGACGTTCCACAGACGTTCTTGCTTCAAATATTGGGTAAATCTCCACTAAACCTGCTATACAAAATGTCCAGGCATGGAATGGAGCCGCTGAATTCGTTGTGCGAGAGCTCCACCTGATGGAAACAAGGTCGTTATGGGACTGTAAGATATTCTAACTGAGATCCAAGATTTCTAAACTCTCAAGGCTGGAGAGATTTTCCAGGAACTCTTGCAAAGAAGTTGAGAAGCTTGCGCTGCATGTTCTTGCAGCCAACCACCTTCAGCGAGGAGATGTTGTTATGAGAGAGGTCCAGGCGAGACAGCCCCGGCCATTCGTTTGGATTGACAGTCTCGTTCCACACGTTGATGCCACTCCGAGAGCGAGAAGAACCTGTGTGTCGTTGACGATCCCGGATGGATTCCTGGGGCACTGCAACCAAGATGTTGTGAAAAAGGCAGAGTAAAAACAAAACCGCAGCAAATTGGAGAAAGACGTGGCCGCTGCTTCTTATTCAAACCATTTGATAGATCAGAAAACTGCACAAGGTAGCGGGATCTGGAATATAGAATGTGGCCTTGGAAGTTCTTACGGAACACAGTACATCTCCTTTAGGACCATGACTATCTAGTCCACCAGTTGGACTCCTTGGACTAGAGTGTGAGCAGGATGGTGACGAGCTTGATCTCCGGTGGAGTAGCCCTCAACAGATAAGAGTCTTAAGATCGACTACGTTTGATCGCCATCGCTCCTGTTTTCAGTGGTGTTTCCGATCGATTTGGGAAAGAGAAGGATGCAACTCGAGGGCGATCGGAGATGGGGATTGCGAGCTCGCTGAGGCACATTGCTGGGTTGTACAGGGGGATTTTGCTCGAGTACCTTTTTTCCGGGCGTGGGGATTGCCTTCACGGTGTATGAAGTGATGAAGAACATTAGCGTCGAGGTGAATGTAAATGGTCCCAGATTCATTTCCAACCGTCCGATATTCTTGAATCGATGGCCTTGGTTGAATTTCCATGTTGCTAGCAAATATTTAGGGTTCTTGCGATGGATGGGAAGAGTTCGCTTGTTCCGTGGCTTGGCGACGGCAGCGATTCGATGCGCCGCACCAGCATTCGCTCCTTCGGCAGCGCAGCCCGATCAGCAGGCGGCCGCGCTGGTGTCCGCGCTGAAGGTATGTGTTTGCGCAAGGGCAAGGCGATCCACGCCCAGGCGGCGGAGAGCAAGCAGCTGGGGATCCATGTCGTCAATGCGCTGGTGGACATGTACACAAAATGCGGCAGCATGGAGGGATTCCCGCCGCGTGTTCGACAGCATTCTTCACCCAAACGTGATGTCCTGGAACGTTTTGATGCTGGGCTACAATGGCGAGAGCGATGTGGCTCTGGATCTCTTCGAGAGGATGCAAGCCAGGCGGTCGGGCTGCAAGCCAAACTCCAGGAGCTTCATGGCCGCGTCGAGCAGCCTCGCGGCGAAGGAGGTCGCTGTTTTGGTCGATGGGAAGCTCGTCAAGGAGGCTAGTCTCGAGACCGGCAGAGGCATCCATTTGCAAGCCAAGCAGATAGTACCATCTTGCAGCGAAGACGTTTTCCTCTCGAGCTCGCTGATCGATATGTACTCCAAGTGCGGCAGCATGCTCGATGCTCGATCGGTCTTCGATGAGATGCCACGACGAGACGTGGTCTCCTGGAACGCTTTGATACTGGGCTACGTAGAGAATGGAGAAAGCGAGGTCGCTCTCGAGTTCTATGGGAAGATGAACTGCTCGCCAAACTCTCGGACTTTCGTTGCTGCTGCCATGGCCTGTGCGAATCTAGCAGTGAAAGAGGAGGCCACTCAAGGAGATGGAAAGATGGTGAAGACGAAGAGCCTGGAGAAGGGGCTCGCTGTTCACGATGGAGCTGTGAAAAGCCACTGCTGTGGAGATCTTTTCGTGGGGAGCAGCCTCGTGGACATGTACTCAAAGTGTGGGAGCATGGTCGACGCGCGGATGGTTTTCGAGAGCATGCCTCGCCGTGATGTCGTGCTCTGGACGAGCTTGATACAAGGCTTTGTGGACAACGGGGAAAGCGAGCTGGCTCTCGTGTTCTTCGAAGATATGAAGCTATCCGGGTGCTGTCCAAACTCTCGAACGTATGTTGCTGCGCTTGCCGCCTGTGCGAGCTCGGCAATGCGAGAGGAAGTGGTGGATGTCGACGGGAAACTCGTGAAGAGAAAGAGCTTGGAAACTGGGCTGGCTATCCACGGTGAAGCTTCAAACAACAGGTGCTGTGAGGATGTGTTCGTGGGGAACACACTGATCGATATGTACGCGAAGTATGGGAAGCTAGAGGAAGCTCGCAAGGTCTTCGATGGCATGGCTGGCGGAGACGTGGTTTCGTGGAACGCAATGATCCAGGGATCTGCTGGAAGTGGAGACAGCAAGCTGGCCTTGGAGCTGGTCTTCGGCATGGCTCGGGAGAACGATCCGGACGAGAGAGCGTTTATTGCTGCGCTCATGATCTGCGTCCACCTTTCAGCGTCCGAACAACCTGTTCCGCGAGAAGATGGAAAGCTACTGCGAATCCAGAGCCTAGAAAAGGGGATGGAGATTCATTCTCTCGCCGCGAAGTTTGGATGCTGTGAGCACAGATTTGTCGGGAGCAGCTTGGTGGACATGTATGCCAAGTATGGAGATATGGTCAAAGCTCGAGCAGTTTTCAAACGCATGCCTAGCCGGGACGTTGTCGTTTGGACGAGTTTGATACAGGGATATGTAAACAACGGTGAGAGTGAGCTCGGGCTGGAACTCTTGGAGAGCATGGACTGTGCTCCAAACTCTCGGACTCTTGTAGCGGGACTTACGGCCTGTGGGAACGTTGGGTCCAGTGAAGCTGGAAGGAAAATCCAGACTGAGGTTTACAGGCGTGGGCTGGAAGACGACCATGTTGTGGGGACGTGCATGGTAAACTTCTACGGGAGGTGCGGGGTTATGAGTGCGGCCGAGCACTTGTTTGGATCTCTGGCAGTCCGAGAAATGCACTGATAACAGGATTCGGCCAACAGGGCGCGTGTTCGAAGCCTTTCGCGAGATGCGAGAAGATGGCGTGCGAGCAAACGCGATCACGTTTGTCTCGGTCATCACTGCCTGCAGCCACGGCGGCCTGGTTGAACGAGGCAGGGAGTTTTTCCAGGCAATGGACCCGAACTCTGGCATTGTTTGCGGGATTCATCACTACAGCAGCTTGGTGGATCTGTGGTTTGGAGGAGCGTCCTCGGGGCCTGCCGGTAGATTGCGTTCGAGGCACTGACGAAGATCGACGAGAAAGACTCGGCTGCGTACGTTCTGATGGCGAGCATCTACCGGAGCGCGGGGCTGTGGGAGGATCATGATAAGCTCAAGACTATACAGGAGGCGGCCGGATAAGAAGGGTCCAAATATTCATCTACGAGCGGATTCATATTCATCAAAAGTCACACGCGTGAAGCTACAAAGGACGGCAGCGGCAAGGTGGACGAGCTGGAGATTTGATCAGTATTCATTTTATTATATACGTACATTATTAAAATTGATAGTGAACGTTTGGTATAGTGTTAATTAAGTATAAATTAGCAAATTTGCTAATGGCGGCACGTGGATGTCCGTGGATGGACGTGGATGTTCGACTCCCGCTTTTCTAGGAGTGGCGATTGCAATGTGGGCGAGCGACGACGAAAACGACGATGGGTGGAGGTGCTGGGAAAATCCCATGAGCAGCATGAGGTTGAAGAAGTGGAGTTTCTTGTGGCGAGCAGCTGCGGCCTCAGATGCCTATCTCACAGGCATTGTCAGTTCGATCGAACAAAGGCGCTCAAGGAAATTCTGTGTGATGAAGGGCTTGCAGCTTAAGGAGCGAGAGCTGGAGTCGATCGACATCGGCACGCTCCATGGACGTGAATAAGAGCACGCTCAAGTTTAATGTTTTTAAGGCTGAAAGTGTGAGATTCCTGAAATCCAACTCTAAAATAACTCCAATGATCAATAATATTAGTATAGTTTTATTTGATTGTTTATTCTAAACATTTTGCATTTTGTCTGCTATTACAGCTTAATAGAGTAATGCAAGCACCGACTTAAGGATACTAACCACTGCACTCAGCACAAGGAAAATGCAACTGTTTGGAGTAACAAGGATAATCACACTCTGCAGAAGCTTGATAGTTGCAGTGAGGCTCAAGATAACCGTTAGATCAACTTTGATGAACTTGATTGGAGTCCACACAGGAATGGCATTGCCCAGATACTTGCAGATGACGCCAATGATAATCGGGCAAGGGTAGCCACCAGGGATGTAGATCACAATGATCTCAAGGATGATAATCACTGGATAAAGGATGACACATAGCAAGGGAACTTTGAGGACGAGGGCCTTTAAACTAGCTATAACTTGAGTGACAATTCCAAGTACTTTGTCAACTAGATCCAATGGGACACCAATGTTTGATGAAGTTCCATTTGTAGGAAGCACCGTCTTTAGAGATCTCATAGTGCCTTGCAAAAACATTTACATGGACAAAGAGTCAAACAAAAGTTTAGACCAGGTTATATACCATACCAGAGAGGTCTCCACTAACATCATTGTCTAAAGCTGAAACATGAACAGCACTCGCAAGCAGGAGGCATGCAAGTGGGAGAATGAATGCTATGCTTGATTTTGCCATTTTCTTCGATTTAATCTTCTAATATTGCTTGGATAGTGTGAGTTATTAATCTGAGGGACATCTAGGCCTTTAAATACTCGACAAATCACCAAACTTTAAGCCACCTCTAAAGCAACGCAAGACTTTTGAGACAAGTATATCTTGAATATTTGATTCTATCTAATGTAATCTCGATTAAGTCTCCTCGGATATCCTTGGCCAGGCGAATCACGTATAGGATTTGAACCTAGTTATCACTCCAATTATTTGTACTTTTAAGCCTCGTGACAAGAAAGCGAACTTGGCAATAATGCATTCTAGAGCAAAGCTGGGTTGGTGCTTGGAATGTCCGTGCTTCCTAAGCGGGTACAAGTGGACTGTAAACAAAATTAAATTGATTCGTTGCTTGGAACTGGAAAGTTGATTCATCATCAAGTGGATCCCTTGTACCCATATTTTATGAGGCTTCATTGAGAGCATTGAAAGATTTAGAGTAACCACAGCTGCAAAAGCAGCAATCTCTACCTTCCCTTTGCCAAACTTCATTACCTACTCACAAAGAAGAAAATGACCACATGCTGACGAGGGTGAGTGGAACTTTGGATAGATTTATAGATAACACGAGCTGACGGGGGTGGAGGAATTCTGCAGGAAATTTACAATAGCAAGATCCCACCACACCATGGCCCGTGATTTCAGACTGCCACGGGATGGAGAAGCCAAGTAAGAAAGTCCCTGCATTTAAGTGTAAAACACAAAAATGATAAAAGCTCCATCAGGAGTCCTGGTTGGACAAAATGAATGTATACTCTCTCACACAAGCAAGAAAACACTTGTTGGATGTCCCAAGTGGAATTTGGGCACAAGACCAGGGGATCAGCAAAAAGTAAACAATGATATAACTATAAAGTAAAACTATTATAGCATATCACACAAATACAAAATGCAATAAACTACTAGTTGGAATATTGGAAAAACACAAATCTCATTTTTATCATTTATCATTTTCAAATTAAAAAAATTCATTTTTATATCTATATACAATTTGTAACACTAACTTTGGATTAGTATAAACCATTTTCATATAACATTCTTTTAAATAGGGAAAATACAACCTGTCTTGCGATTTAAAATGTTGAAAGAGGTTACTACAATTATGCTCTTACAGAGGATACCTTTTACTACATATCAGAGTCAAAGGGATGCTAAAAAAGGAGAGTACTTAATATGACTTGTTTGATGCCCCTCTAGATCTAATATTTTAATTATCTAATAATTAAAAATTATTAATCTGATTTAATAATAACCAAATTAACTACACTAATTGCCAAGTCAACACAATCTAGACATTAGTTGTATAAGTATAGATCTTTAATAATCCTAAATTACTTTAGCTTTCCTCAAATCCTTTGATTATCTTGTAAGTGTGATGTTATAGGGTGAAGATGGTCCTCCTCCATAGTTAGAAGAGCAACTAGCAAGCATTGGAATTTATTGTGCCTCCATTCACAATCACAACCATTATAGTTATTATTATGCCTCCATGCACAAACATGTGTAGTGGCATATGTATGGGTATGGTTTTGTGTGTTAAGGTTAAGCCATATTGCAACATATTATGTCAAATATCAAAGTAGAGCACATAGTGTAAATTTTGCAAACCATTATTAAGATGCTATGAAAATTGTAATCACAAATCCTTGAATTTTTGGGGGATAAATAGGGGTAAAATAGCCATTAAAGGCTCTTTTATCAAACAGTTGTCCCTTTTTCAAGTTGGATTAAAATGTGAAAAACAAAACCCCTTTTTAAATTGGATTAAAAAATGCAAAATAAAGTGTGTTACAATCTCATAGAGTTTGAGATTTATAATAGTTTTTTCATGATTTGTCAACAACAATAATATGCAAGTGAAATAAGAGAGCAATGTTAAGAAGGTTTTAGCTTAGTTTCTGAAGTTATTTGGTCCTATTAAATTACTATGTGTATGTGTAGATTATGCACATTTTATCAAAATAGACCTTCACTAGCAATCTCATTAGGAAAAGGAACAAAATGACAAAATGTATGAAAGAAATATTTGATTTGGGTAAATCATGTGTTTTATGGTTTGTAGAGAGTTTAGATGTGTGTTATTTAGATTAATTGCTGATCCACATGAATGATGGCATAGATCAGGTTAAGCAAGTGTTTGAGTGGCTTTAGAAACATCTCAAATGTCCTAATTACAAATTTAGGAAGGACTCTTTAAAGTACTTGGGTTTTATGCTAGAGATAAAGTGTATTTAGATCTTCAAAAGATATAAACTATTTCTAACTCATCAAAATATTATAAAGCTACATCAATTATAATTTATTTTATATCATAATTTTCTTAGATTGTTTCTCTCTTATACAATTTTCTTTGGCAAAATATAAAATTTGTTTGGTTTTAGAAATGCCAAAGGGCTTTTGAGGAAATGAAAAAGATCTTGACTTTTACATTAATTCAGCACTATCATAAGTTCTTTAGTGGCTTTATCTTTTGCATGGATGCTTCTAATATAAATTTCAATTAATGCTAACTATTAATATAAGAAGTTGCTCACATCACTATAGCTTCCAAAGCAACTCCCAATTCAAGATCTGGGTCAAAACTATTGAGCTTGGGTGTTATGCCTCATTGCCTCTAATGCTTCGTCTACTTCCTGTTAATTCCCATGCAGCCTTGAATCGCTCTCAAGGATCCTGTTTGGCTCTGGTATCCCCTCCAATGCTTTGTCTACTTCCTGTTGATTCCCATGCAGCCTTGAATCGCTCTCAAGGATCCTATTTAGCTTTGGTATCCCCTCCTTGGTGCCTCTATATCTATTGCCATCCTGTACCAGTGGGACGACCGCTTCAAGATTTTCCATTGGGGAGTTGGTTGGGCCAGAGCCCGTGGTGGTGAGATCTGTGAGAAGTTTGTAGGTGTGTTGTGCCTGGGCCATCAACTCCCTTGTTCCCTGCACAACTTCTTCCTGGAGGTTGTTAGCCGTATGCTCTGTAAGGTGATCACTTTCTGTGTGATAGGTATCTTTTTATTTATGCTAGTCATTCTCTTAATGATGCAAAGAAGAGTTACTCAACTAAAAATAAGAAGTATTTAGTTGTCATGTAGGAATTTTTAAAATTCTATATATATACCTTTATTACTTAAGATGGATTATAGAACTTTGACATTGGTTCTTAAGCATATTTCTTACGCTTAAGAATCTTTAAGGTTGCATGTACCAGAATATAATATAGGTTTTATGAATGTTTTATCTCAACATTATTAGTGGTTATTTGTAGAGAATATATTGCACAGCCATGAATAAGTAGCTTAGAAGGATGAGCTATGAATGT